TCTCTCTCTCTCTCTCTCTCTCTCTCTCTCTCTCTCTCTCTCTATCTATCTATCTATCTATCTATCTATCTATCTATCTATCTATCTATCTTTTTCTCTCTCTTTGTGCGGCGTGCACTTCACCACATACAATGCCACACACATTTATTCATTTGGCACTCAAAAGTGATGTCGAACTGGAAAGACAGCTTGTCGTGTTTGCGTTGGCGGAGTGCCTTGAGGTTGGAGGTGTGTCTCTGAAGGCTGTCCATAGCATGTGTGCCCTGTCGTCTTCGAGTTTGGATGCAGTGCTGTGATCTTCTAGAGTGTTTTGAGCTTGGAGACAGCCTGTCACCTTTGCGGAGGGCCTTGAGCTTGGAGATGTGTGACAGCATTCCAAATGAGATCTGCCCTGTATGTTGGAAAGGGTGGGAGTGGCCGCTGGGAAATTGGTTGTACTTTTTTGTTTTTAACTTTTATGATTCCTCATATAAAGAAAACGGCATGCTCTCTGCGCGGGAAAAGAATAGCACCGAAAACTCTTCATTTAAAAACGACGGGATGGACAGTATCCCAAAACAACGAAGAAAAAAAAAAAGGACGGTAGCCCACCATATGCACTTGAATAGAAGGCCTAGTCGCCATGGCGGTATGCAGACCGAATGTTGTGTCGAATACAGCTATAATGACTGGGTGTTCTATTCGGATGAAGACGGTTGGCAATTTGTTACTTTGTTTTTTATAGATATGATCATCAAAGTAAAACAAAAAAAAAAACATGATCGAACTGGTCAGCACTACTACTACTTTCTTCGCCTGTTCTTTGGGTCGAAGATGCTCATCTCCCGTTCCATACCATCATCATTATCCTAGTCCATGTATGATGCCTCTCGTCCCCTCCCGTCATATAGTGTGATCATCATGATCAGTGCTGCGGTTCATGGTCCCCTCCTCTGTGACTCTATCCACACCATCATCTCCCAACCCCATCCTCATTTGGATCATGATCACCCCTCCCATGTCTTGTACCTACCATCATCCCTCCTCCCATTCTTGTGTCTTGTCCCCACCATCAGGATTATCATGACGATTCTTCTCCCAGCCCCTCTGTTTTGCAATTTCCTCCTACCCCTTCCCCACGCTTCTCACTGGTCATCATCGCTGCAATGATCACCATCATCATCATCATCGTTCTCACCATCATCGGAAAGTAAAAAATAAAAAAAAATAGATCCCTTGAGATGCTCCTCGTCAACGCCCTAATCATCGTCACCATTTCCCTCCCCCTCCCGTGTCTCGTCACCACCGTCATCCTTCCTCTCGAGAGATAGCAACAGAATGCCCGCTCCTTGTCCCGCGCCTTCTCCGCCCCTTCCCGTTTCTCTTGATGCTCCTTCTCCAGCCCCTACTGCCGCTTCTCCCGCCGCTCCTCCTGCTCCTCCTCCCGCGCCTCCTCCCACTCCTCCTGCTGCTCCCACTCCTTTTCCCGCTCCTCCTCCGCCAAACAACGTGACAAAGATCCCACCATAGCCATCTCCCACATAAAAAAAAGAAGAAAAAAGGTTCCTGCTCCTTCTCCTGCTCCTCCTCCTGCGCCTCCTCCGCCCCTTCCCGTTCTCCGTCCTACTCCTTCCGCTCCCCCTCCCACTCCTCCTCCCCCTCCCGCTCCTCCTCCTGCTCCTCCGCCAGACAACGTGACAAAGATCCCTCACTAGCCATCTCCTATGAAAAAAAAGAAAAAAGGCTCCCGCTCCTTCTCTCGCTCCTCCTCCTGGTCCTCCTCCCTCCCCTTCTCCCGCTCCCCCTCCTGCTGCTCCTCCTCCTCCTGCTCCTCCTGCTCCTCCTCCTCCGGTTGGTTCTCCTGCTCTCTCCCCCGGCCCTCCTCCCGATCCTCCTGTTCCTCCTCCCGCTCCTTCTATCGCTTCTCCTCCTCTTGTACCTCCTCTCGCTCCTACCTGTTGCGCGTTGATCCGCCTCCGCATGTATGCGGCTCCTCACACTCCTTCTCCCACTCGTGCTCCCTCTCCTTCTAAGGCTGCTCCCCCCGTGCCTCCTCCGCCCCTTCCCGTTTCCCCTCCTCCTTCTCCCGCTCCTCCCGCTCCTCCTCGCGTTCGTTAACCCCCTCCCCGTTTGCCCTTCCGCTCCTCCTCCCGCTCCTTCTCCCGCCC